ACATTTCTATCGCTTTTTTTTAATGAGGACACCCTTCAAGCGGCGAAGAGATTTCGGATATTCAATAGTCAGATTTCCTCTACATATATATGATGGTGGCCGTCAGTGTGCCATGTTTTCCATGGTTGCTATGAACGAACTAAGATTTCTATCAAATTATTAATATGTCCGAGGCAACTGCAACAGCCGCAAGCACAACCCGTACATTGGCGATTCCATCGGACTCTAAGTATTCCGGCTTGCTTGGTTGGTTATCTGTTTGGAATACGGATTTTAACAAAAGAGAAGAATTAAAAACACAACTCTTATAAGCTCAGAAAAGTCGGAAAATCATTTTGGTAGATTGAGACTACTTGCATCTTATAGGCGAGGTTCTGTAGATTTTAAGGGCCCGTGCTTTTTCCGACCTCACAGAACTGGTTCACCGTAACGCTACTATAGGTTGTTTTGCAATTAGCGAAAAGAGGTACTCATTTTTTATTTCTTCATATCACGGAAACAGGTTATTATTTCTTTTATCAAATGATAATAACGGAACACTATGAAAAGCAAGCAGGAACCGCGCTCCAATTGAAGCGACGCGTCGCCCAGCAGGTGCCATGCGTCCAAAGTTTCGCCAGCTATACCTCAGATTTCATCATTATTCATTCAAAGTTTGGCATTTTTAAAGTCCAGTCCTAAGTTCCCGCAGTTCAGATTGAACTTCATCAATTGAAACAAAACCACTGTGTGTTAAAAATGGGAGGAAGGTGAACGTGCCCTAAATGCGAGCTGAGTATAAGTTCTTTTTGTACCAACTTCGTGTCAGTTCAGTGATATAAAAAATTTTTAATCTGCAGACTGTTCACTCCCGAACATTCCAGTGGATTTCCCTGTTCTGTGCTTCCAATAGGTGCCTGTGGAGCAGAGGCCGGAGGCGCCCTGCAACACACACGTGGAATCGATCCCCGCTCCTATGCTCCACCGAGCCTTCCATTCCTCCGGGGTTGAAAAATTAGTACCATACTTGTCTGGGAGGATAGAAGCACTGGCTCGATACATCGGTAGGCATCCGCGAGTTATTTTAAATGTCAGATATGCATGCATTCAGTCACCTCCAAACGGTGCTTAACGAAACCGAATGCGTGGCGCACCCTCAGGGGTTGACCAGCGCCGAGAGCTTAATCCTTTATTATCCTTTTGTGCTGCCAATGGCACTTTATCCAACTTCGGGCCTATGAAGTAAAATCGTATCATTTGTCTTAAATTCATAACATTTTTCAGGTTTTCCTTTTCATATGATCTGTTATCAAATCTATTGTGCAGATCCCAGCACTTCTTGCCTTCGATTCATTTTCCTTGCATTCATCGTCCACAACGGTCTTCGAACATTTCGCATGTTGTTTCGGCTATTGCTTGAGAATTTCATCTTTTTTATGATTTTCGTGGAATGCTGGTCGAATCGATTACCCTTACAATCTCTTGGAGATGGCCTGGCTAAGGCTTTCCGTCGTGGATTAGAGGAGAGCGCTGAGAGGCTGGTGTGTGGTGCTATGGTGGGAGCAGCATTTGCTTCCTGATCGACGGCATGACTAACCACTGCACGACGCCTCCTCTAGTTATCACGTTCACTAATCCAAAATAAACTTATCAGTGCAAACTAACGGCGAACGAATATATCCTATCATAGATTGTTGAGCAATTAATATGCTCCAATATGGTGTATAGAAATAAAGCAGACAATCCCACGACCGACTTTCTATTAACCTTGGCATTGATCAGATAATTCTTTATATTCTTGCTGAGCAAACGCGAGGTATTATTTTATTCTTTATTCACGAACAAGCTGACGTTTCGGCGGATTTCGCCTTCGTCAGAGCCTGGAAAGGTCAAGCTGACAGCAATCTACCCGGCCAAACACCTCCATAACCAAACAAAGAAAACGCTAAACCAAGATTTCAATCACAACACAAACACAGAGTAGCTTCTTTGCACGCTCACCGCTTTCTATGAGTCTTCCACTGAGTACGTCGCGAAGTCCTCTCCATTATGTCCCTGGGTCCTCTGTGTGCCTAGTGGGGTATATGGTTTAAGTTTACCGACTAGGTGTTCTTTTATGCGGACACAGAGGGGTCTACCCGTTTCGCCAATGTATTCGTTTCCTCACGTCTTCAGGAGATCAGATAAACTATACCCGAACTCATGCAATCACCGTCTCTGTCATTAGTGCAAATTATGCAATTTTGCCTTGCACATAGACGGTCATGGGCGCTTACGAAACGTATGGGCTAAACATTTTGTTACATCTCTTCAGACACGAGACCTATTCATGTAAATTTAAATCAGTAGAGTTAACTCTCTCTACCTTGGTTCTTCGTGTTTAGAAGCAATTTCAAACCGCGCTTTATATTTTGGAAAAAATGCATGGACTGTTATTGTAATCGTGTTTTTTTTCTGGTAGGATTATTATACATTTAATGCGTTTTTAAGGGTATGTCATTGGAACATGAGATTAATAGTTCGAGCTAAAATTTCCTATTCGCCAAATTCGCCGAAAAAGCATCCTAGTGCAGGATGCGTGGGAGAGGCTCACGGTGGTCTACATCATAGAAGGATGTCGTGTTTTCCTAATGACTTCTCTACAATAAACCTTCCATCTGGTGATGTTTCTGGCCATGCAGAAGTAACTTTCGAGTTTTGCTATTTTACTTTTTTATTTCTTTATTTTTTCTTATGTTTGTGAAATTTGTTGCCGTGCAAAGAACGAAGTTGATTCAACTTAATTTTCTTTTACGGTAAAATTGTTTTGGGATCTAAATTTTCTTGTTTACTTAGCAAATTTCTTAACGATCTTAACGAAAATTTCTTAACTAATGAATATAGAAAAATTGGTTTGAGCGATGGGTTTAACAAAGGAATCGATATGCGTCTTCTTCTATATCTGCATATGATTAGCTACATAGCACGATCCAGGTGATGATGGCTCCATATTTTCTGCTGCACCGATTTGGTACATAGCAGCTGTATTCACGTAGAGGTATTCACGCATGTTGCGTGGGTGTGTTCTCGTTTATGAGGATTGACTGCAATGACCAAGAGACTGCAATCAAGTGAGAGGGAAATATATGGGCAGTAGTCAGGAGTTCCTCTATCAAATCAAATAAGCTCCTCTTCTACTCTGAGAGAAACTGCTAAGCTACCCATGAATATATCCAGCCTCTTCCCTCGCTCCCCGTTCATCAGAAAGACTCCAAGATATGGCGGCGTTGCATAGGACGAACACGGGAAGACTGGACTGCTAAAACTAGAATTTTAGGACCATTCTAGGGTGCTTAAGTGGCAAAGGACTGATGTGATGACCTGTACCTGCAATGCACGCACACTTGTATCTGAGTCCTGTATAGAAGACTTGATCATGAAGACAAGAATATAAAGCTCGACGTCATCGGAAAGAACTATTCTTTTTTGCGCATTGACATGAAGCTGTGATAATAACGAAGTCGATGGTTTCTAAATGTACTTAGAGAAGTTCTACAGAGATGACTATACATTCTTCAAGGTCGTCATTGGAGATTTTAAGACTAAGATTGGATTCAGAAGAACTTCTGAAAAACGTCAAGTCAGGACCCACATTAAAATGGAACGAACGAGTTGAATGACTGAGTTTATCGCGAAGACCAGGACCATTTGTGGTAACTAGCAATTCCAGAAGGACCCTCTAAACCTTGGACGTAGGTTTTTTTTCGAAGGTTTGACCTAGCCGATGTTGCTATTGTCATAAAACTTTACACGGAATCAGACTATCACTTTCTTCGTGTAAGATTTCATTTCCTGTAGAGAAGAGAAAAGGTCTCGAAATTCAAAAACCAAAATCTGAAAACCATCGTAAATTAAGATTTATCCAGTTCACTTGTAGGCTGTTGGGAACATGCCGTTCTTGATAATGTCGACGTGGAATCCGATCAGCTCATTCAATATTTTCACGTTAGTCCTCTGAAGGCTCAAAGTTCAAAATTCACCAAGAGGCGTATGTCTTTCGAAACACGCTAGTCAATTCGTCCCACGTAAAATCGCAAGAGCTGCAGGCAGCCTCCAGCTTTCTTCCGAACAGTGCAGATAGGCGATAAAAGAAGATCTCAAAGAGAGAAGGGCAACACTTACGGTGGAAGCTGCAGGGCTTCTGAAAAGCATTTGCAAAACCCACCGAAGCTTTGCGAATTGTTAAACGGAGACCGTTGCACTTTGACGCCTTGACGGTTACAGCTTCCAGAGAGCCAATGGAGAAAATCATTCACAATTAATACTCGTGTCTTTTCAAATTCCATGTCCTCCTGACCTCACATGAAATAGGGGATGATGGATATGCCGTCCTACCGGTCCTCCATTTCGAAATTCGATATGATGTTTTGTCGATAAATAATTGACCATTACCTGGTTCTAAAAAGATAAGACCTTAACATCTGGAGGACCTCCTCGCAGCTCACGTCAGTACACGGACACGGATCATCACACGCTACTTATCAGAGTGCAAAGCCCTATTTAATGAAATAACGAGTAAACCATGTTATTGTTCGAAAACTGAGGTCTCCGCGGTCTCCGCAACATCGGTAATAACCACCAAATCTGCCCATTGTCTGTCGCATATAAACTTTTCACTCGAGTCATCCTAACCAGAATTCGAAGAACACTGGACCAAAGAAAAGAGTGTAAGCAAGAAGGGTTTCGAAAAGCATTCAGTGCGATGTACTACATCCACACGATAACAAGACTCATTGAAGTATCGCAAGAGTACTAAAAACCGCTTTGTCTCATTTTCATCGATTTAAGGAAGGCTTTGTCTCAGATGAGATAGAAGCAGTGATGGGAGCCCTTGATAGTCAAGGAGTCCCTCCTCCCTCCTTGAATAGGGATACTTCTCATGGAAACTCTCAAAGTACGCTTCCTGTTAGGGTGTCATATGTTGATAGTTCATATCTTTGGTTAAAAAATTGGAGTCTCGTGTGCTTAAAAAGTAATTAGTGATGTATTTTATTTTTTTTCATCAGTATATCATTCGTGATGCTCGCTGGGATCCTGTCGAAAAGCTGGCTAAGGCAACAGTTCCATCACTGTCGTCGATGATCAACGAATTCGTGACGCTCGAAATTATGCTCGAAAAGTCTAAACGGCGATGTTCGAGTTAGCTAACGATCGAGTAAGTTGCGAAAGTTGCACGTCCTATTTATTGTGCCCTTATGGTGTTTCTCTATAGAATTGACAAAATAATTCCTTGACATTGGGATGGCCAATATTAGGAAGCATACTACCCGGCTCAGCATGTTTTCTATTCATTTTTTCACTGTTAGCTCGAAATACCTGTGACATGAGATTTCCAGGTGGTCACTACAGGCATTAGACTTCTTGAACATCAAAAATTTTAAAATTCATGACATATACATTCATTTTGGCGCGTTTGTGTGGAAGTGTCAAATTCATCTCTTAATTGGGTTATCATGCTGCTTCATGAACATGAACACCCACTGTGCATCGATGTTCGACAAAGAGCTATTGACGAGGCGATGAATTATTATTGAGGACCAGATTATTGGAATCAGGCGAAGTCGGTTTTTGTTGTTTAGAATTGAACATTTATGTAACGAAAATGGTGCTGAACATTAGTACTAGTGAAGAAGCTATGTCTTATTCACCTTTTTTTCTCAAAAAGGGGAGAAAATGGTATTAGAAGCATATCTGTATCGATTAAAAAAACACATTAGGTCAACCTTTTTATATTACACAATGGGTAAATAGCTCACTGATGGAAAGCATTCATTTGTCTCCACTTTTTATTATTTTGTGAACCAATATAGGGCAGCTTTGTTTCTTTGATTTGTGTGGCTCTAAAAACCATATCACTCCAGGAGGAATATTGTCAATTACTTGAACAGAAAATATTCAGGACCGTTCAAGTTAAGAAGAATTCGTGACTTCGAATTGAGAGGTGCTTTTACTGCTGCCGGTGGTATTGCAGATGGACAAACACCTTCTACTGGAAACGTACGTACGGGTCGGTCAGAGCAGAGTCAGAGTAGCCGTTTGTCAGAATGTGAGTCTCTAGAGATTTGGTTGTTTTCCATTAAGATCTTTGATGTTAAGCTGGTCAGTACAAAGGTCTCCTTATTAAATTACGAGATCCTGATGGTTCAATTTCCTACTCTACAAGTGCTCGTCAACGAATTACTTTTTTTGGCTATAGTTAAATCACATTCTGAAACGAAGGTTAAGAAGGAATGTTCAGGTTGGATATGTGGTGGAACAGTAGTGTGGGAAGTGCACCTAGTTTCATTCTTCAGGTGCCCATGGATCATCGAGCGGAATACCCTCATCTGTATCGAATTTCCCAACAAATTCAGCAGAAACAGGAAAGACATCAGATTCCACTATGCTGCCAAGAAAGGAGATCGAGAGAGATCACACCCCTCCACCTGGAGAAGACACAAATTTTTACGCCAATAAGTTAAGGCATGGCATTTTTCTCCTTCTTTTTTAGCAGCACGAGAGGTACGAATTTTTATTTCTTGATTTAATCGAACATTGTTAAGGCATTATTTACGGTCGGTGTGGTAGAATATAAGTTGAGCCAACGAGACTGTTTCCTTCCGCATGCCTGTTGATCCTAATTCGCTGGTCATTCCCGTAATATATTGTAGAAATAAACGATCAGTAGTTTTGACGGTATTAGTACACTAATGACTATTACGCAGCATGAAAATCACTTGTCGGATTTGTAATTTTAGTGGTCAGTGTGTCAATGTTATTGTTTAGTCTTCTGAATACTTATTCGCTTTCATTCTTTGGCGTCTCTGCAAATACTGCTCGTTCATCTCTTGTTTAAGAATTGTGAGCTAGTATTAATTGGGAATATGTCTTTTTTAGAAATATAATGATAGAGTAAAACACCCAATGGATGTCCCAACTATCTTTGTTAAGTTGAATGTAGAGCGGTACAATATTCCTTGGGAGTTCTGCGATGATTTGTAGCTGGTATTTGATAACGCTTGAATATGCAATCATAGGAATAGTAAGGTGTATAAATACTGTGCCAAGGTAAATATCTGCGTTTCGAAAGATTTTTTAGTTGTTAGAAAATGTTGTGTAGTGAAGAAAAAGGTTAAAGCTCTGGGCATTGATCAATTCCCGAGAGATGCAGCATGCATTCGACTTCATTAAGCATCTTTTGGAGGTGATTAGTTGCATATGTTGCTTTTGCAATGACTTACTGTGGCTTACCTATGTATCGAGCCAATACTGCTATCTTCCCGGACCAGTCTAGTACCAATTTGTGGAGACCGAAGAGATGGAGGGCTCGGTGAGCCTGGGGAGTCGGGTTCTATCCCTGCGCCATACGCGTGTTTGTAGTGTAGGTTGCGCTTATTGTGTAGGTCTTATTAACTAGCAGAAATCTTAAATTTATTAAGGAGTATAAGTGGTAAATCGTTTTACTTCATGACGTGGCCAGTGAAATTTCCACATCTGAGCTTTCTTATTGGTTCTTGTGTAGGCTTTTATTTTAGAAATTTACCACTGCATTCAATTATTTCAGTTGAGCGAGATATTTGTGAGAGAAATGTATCAGGTTGTGCAACACATGAGTTATTGTTGTTCACGAAAGTGGTCGTTTATACACCTACCATTGTTGTGTAACAGTGAATCGATGTGCACATCAGGTCGAAATCGGCGTTATTGGGTGTACGTTTTTTGATACCGAAGTTTTGACAAAATCGTCATTTTTATAACTGTATAATTTTCTGCTATTCGATCCAGTTCTACACTAGGACAGTTAAAGCATAATGTTTACTTTAACCGAGACACCGAGTTTCGTCTGTAAACAGTCAGTGCTGTGGGTGAGAGAGAAGGGGAGGGCGGGAGGGGGAGTATTTGGGGGCAATTATAAAAAGTGTCTGTTCTGAATAGGTAGTTGCAACAATTTTTGTGTTGCGCAATTTTTGTGTTCTGTATATTGATTGGTGTATTAAATGCTAAATTACTTGCGTACGACAGAAATACATGTAACAAATTGTTTTAGGTACGAGTCGAGTTCTCAGTATGGCGTAACAGTATCGAAGTGCCATATGTACTGTGTGAAGTGCTTCGATGCTTTGCCACCGGAAGGCATTTCACCTTCTGAGAACCCAAACGACCAGTGAAATATGGCACCTAAAGACAGATTTCTGCAGATGACGAGCGACGTAAGTGAGTATGAACTGTTTGAAGTGTGCAAATAGTGTCACAGAAAATGGCATAGAATATGTGCGCTACACTACAAAAAGATTTGTATGGTTGAGAATGTAAATGTTGTCTGAATTCTTTTAGATGTTAAGACACATTGCTCGATCTGTTTACCTTCCAGAGGTAGACTTGCTCGAATTCGTTTTTTTTTTCTTGAGTTCTCCTTCCATGCTCTGCATGAGGCAGGTTACAAGGTTCCAAGTTTGCCAGTGTTTGTGTTTCGGCAAGGCAGCACGATAAATTTTTTGGTTTCATCATTTGGCCACTGCTTCGTTTCAAATCACTTTATCTGTCATCTGTATCACCTGTAGTCCCATTGATCGTCGAGTGACTCAAGCGAGCGCCAGTAAATCTTCCATTTTTCCCTGTTGCGTTCAAGATTAGCCCAGTGGGTTCTGCTCGCTCTAGGGACTCGTCGAGCATCATATCTTTCTTCAAGGCTCTTTGTGAAGAACTCTGACCATCGCGTCGATGGTCTTCCTGCAGTACGTTTGACATTCCGAAGAATCCAGTCACTAACGGCTCTTGTCCATCGGTTGTCATTCATACGCATTACGTGTCCTGCCCACCTTATCTTCGACTGTTTGGCGTACAGAACGTCATCTTTGATTTTTGATCGTTGACACAGGTCGGAGCTTCCGATCCCTTCCTTTACCAGTGTGAAACGGCATACTCCTAGCATCGTCCTTTCGACTGCGCGTTCGACAACACTGAGTGACCTTTCATCCTGCTTACGCAGCGACCAGATTTCTGACGCATACGTTAGGGCAGGAAGTACCGTTGAGTCGAAAAGGTGGGCACGGAGTAGAGTGTTCTTTGTTCTCTTCACTAAATCCTCTCTTTTGACGTCGGTGTTAATATCTTTGTACAATGGTGATATCCTAGTTGTGAAATTTTTGTACAACTCATGAAGAATCTTTATATACTGAGCAAGGACTCTTTCACTATCAAGGGCTTCCATGACTGCTTCCATCTCAACTGAGTCATAGGCCTTCTGTAAGTCGATAAAAGTGAGACAGAGCGGTCTTTTGTACTCTCGCGATACAATGAGCCTTGTTATCGTGTGGTTGTTGTCCATCGTATTAAATCCTTTTCGAAACCCTACTTGCTTACATGGCTGTGCTTCGTCCAGTGTTTTGTCATTTTTGTTTAGGATGACTCGAGTGAAAAGTTTGTAGACTACAAACAGCAAGCATATGCATATGGGCGATAGTTGCCGATATCATGTAGTTTACCCTTTTTGAACAATAACACGGTCATGCTGATCTTCCACTAGGTAGGGAACTTGCATTCAGACAGGTAAAGTGTGAAGAGTCGAACCAATGTGTTTACGAGGAGTAGTGGATGGTTCTTCAGGTGTTCTGATCTTATTCTATTCGGACTTGGTGCTGTTCGATTTTTCACTGACAAAATGGCATGTCGGATTTCGGAAAGGAGAACCAGTGATACAACGTATCCATTCTCTTTTATTTCATATGACGAAAGGTTGACCTGGCTATCAAAGAGATCTGAGTAGTACTTATGTAGGATTTTCTCTATTACCTTTCTGTACGCTATAATTGTTCCGTCTGGGCGTTGGAGTGCAACCATCTTGGTCTTGTAATTGGCGAAGCTTCGGTGGGCTTTGCGAATGCTTTTCCCAGCCTTTGCAGCTTCGATCATTCGGCTGCTCTTCTCACTTTAAGATCTTCTTTTATCGCTTGTCTGCATTGTTTTGCAAGTTCGGACGTTAGTTCGCGGTTACCCGCAGGTCGTTCGATTCCACGCTGGCGTATTAGCTCGAGTGTTTCTGGAGACAGATGTCTCTCGGTGACTTTCGAACTCTCAGAACTCTTAAACTCTGACTCTCATCGCGCCAACGTGAAGATGTTGATTGGGCCATTCGTATTCTTCGTCGATGTTAACGACAACGGCATCTTCCTAATAGCCGACTAATGAGTTGAATAAGTTCCAGTTTACGGTGGTTTTGGAACTTCGGTTTTTACCGGTTTTTTTTTTCTTTCGGCGAGAAGTAGAATCTAGTACGAAAGAGGCGATAGTCTGATCCCGTGTAGAATTTTGGGACAACGGCGACATCAGTTAGGTAAATCCTTCTATTTACTGTGAAGTCTGTTTCGTTATGATACTCCCCATTGGGAGACTCCCACGTTCAGCGTTGAGGGTGGGGTTTCTGGAACTGCGAGTTTTAACGGATTGTCTTGGTCGCCATGATAAACTTAGACAGCCGCTCACCCTGTTCGTTCCATTCTACTCCGTGGGTCCCAATGTGCTGTTCTTCAGACGTTCTTCTTGGTCCAATCGTGGCGTTGAAATCTCCAATGATGACCTTGTAGAATGTATGGTCTTCTCCGTAGAACTTCTTCAAGGCCATATAGAACACTTTGACTTCTTGTTCGTCATAGTTTGATGTCGGCGCGTAAGCGACGAAGATTGTTAAAGCCAGCCAGTATTGATCCACATCTCTTTAATAGTAAACGTCATTGTAGGTACAGATCGTTACTTTAGTTCTTCATGATCCAGGCAGCTTCCATTGGCCCTGAGATTTTCGGAGCCTCTCCGTATTCGTCCTACCCAACGCTGCCGAATTGGGGCTCTTCCGGGGTCATAGGAATTAGGTCTGTTCTTTTATTGTTTTTAGCTTCTAGATACCCACGTATAGCTTGCTGGGTTCTGAACGTGGGGCTGGGTGTACTCACGGGTAGCTCGCCAGGCTCTACCAGAGTGGACATGGAGCTTATTTGTTGGAGGCGACTCCTAACTCCCTCCCATTTACTTCCCTGTCACTTTATAGCAGGCTTTTGATCGGATTGACTCGTAGAATATAATCTGCATTTACGAGACGACACCCATGCACGCGTGCATGAATGCAAACTCGCCAATACAGAAGGTACCTGTCAGATCGGCGCTGCAGAAGCAGAGTCCATTCTCTGGATCTATCTGCGTCTCAGGAAAGCAAAGGTCGCTTTTGTTCCGCGATCAACCCCCTATCCGCCACCTGGTGACGCGCCACGTAGCCTCGCGGCTAGCCGGCTATCGGGAAGCCCTCATATGGAAATTATCCGTGGTTCAAATCACTGAGGATATTCAATGTGGACGTTTTGGAGTGTATGGATGAATTTTGTTGAAAAGTGCGCTTCATAGCTTGTTTCGACTGATTTGTAGCACTTTGAGGATTTTATGTCAGTTCTCGTTGTGTTTCGATTTGTTGATGACTGAATTATTGTAGCACATCTTTACTGAATGCCGTTGACACAAGAGCGTTTGTTAGACGACGTCCATGCATTGTAGAATTATAGAGGCTATACTTTCAACTCCATTAAGAATCGTTAGGAGGTGATTGGGTGCATATCCAGCCTTTGCAGTGACTCGCGGTGGCCTAGTGTTGTAGCGAGCCAGTGCTGCTATCTTCCCAGACAAGTTTCGTACCAATTTGCCCACTCCGGAGGGATGGAAGACTTGGTGGGCCAGTGGCACGGGGATCGATTACAATCGTGTGTCACAGTGGCGCCTCCAACTACTGCGCCACATGCGCCTTTATATCCTCGCATAGGAATTCAAGACATCAACGCTCACAACTTTTTAAGCGTCTTGCACAAATTTTACGAGTCTAAAAATGGGTCACAAAGAGGAGTGTCTTGTCGCGTATGACCTCGCACCATTCCTCAAGCTGATTGACTGACCCGAACCAAGCGTATTGCTTGCCCATGTACTACTCTGTGCGGCTGGTCTCCACCAAATAAATGGAAAGCTTACAAGGAAGGAAACGGTGGGTGTTTAAAAGAAGTTGTTTATTAGCCAGCGAAAACTTATGTTTCAATTCTTACCCGCTGAGGTTGCGAAGGTGTTTGGTTGGATAGATGGCGCTTCAATTTGACTTCCCGGGCTCTCAAGAAGACGAAACTGTTGAAACCTCACCTTTTGTGAAAAGAATACATGCTGTAATAACACCGTCATGTTTGCTCATCAAGAAACCCTGAATCGGCTATTGATCAGTGCTGAGGTTAAAAGAGTTGTTCGTTGGATGAGCTGAGCTTTTTTGCATTTTCTGGCCATCGAATTATCTGTAGTCGCCTTCGACTGACATGACTCGCAAATTTTTCCTATTGTTACGTCATCCTGCCTTTGATATTCAGGCTTGTTGTTTTACACGTGAAAGACTTTTGAATTTGCAATCAATCAAGGGTGAAAGAGCAAATTAACAAACAGAACCTTTATATTCAATCCTTCTATTTCAATAAAGTTATATTTTTTTATAGTACACATATATTATAGCACTGTAGTTAACTCTTTGTGTTTGTTGCAGTGCTGCTCAAGATGAATTTTGGTCTTTAGGTTTCCTACAAGATTGTACCGTTAAATATGGCGTGTCTCACGGCAGGTAGAAAAGAGGTGGTTACTAGAAAGGTTTGTTCCGGCAACTTAATGTTCTTCTTTAGAGAACATCGCTCTAAGCGGCGCCCATTGCGAGCTATCTCGCGATACTGCTGAAAATCCGAACTGGAAGGTGTGTCTATTCAAAAAACTTTCTTGTTTCTTATTATTCGGACTTTATACTTTGTTTTTCTAAAGATGTTTAGTAAACGCGGTACTTCACATCGAAATCAACACATGCGACAGAATTTTTGTAGCAAAGGTCAATGGTTATCCTATTGGTCAGCCAAACTTGTACGTTGAATTTTTAGACGTTGGAATGTGCTCATTCCTTTCACCTATTTGTTTTCGAACTTCGAAAATGCCATAGCACGGTGAACATCGTGCATGAGTTTTCGTAGGTGCATGCTCCCCCGACATTTCCTGCTAAATTTCACTCTTTGTTAACAGCAAGGGTGTTTTCGGTAACGTCTTGATTTCTGTGGCATTGTTGACACAGTGCTTTAACGACTCTATTATTTCTTTTCTTTAATTGATCCTATGACTGGGTCTTTATAAGATATGTTTTTACCAGATCGGTGGTATTACTCCAGACACCATTGTGCCACCATTTATGGGAGCCAGTTTGCAAGCGGCAGTAATTTTATTGAATACTATCGCTCCAGTTCTCCGCAATATGCGCGGTGTGCATTAAGAACAGCTGCAGAAGTACTGCTAATTGCAAAGAGTCCACGTCTCGAGTCTGTTGTATCGATTTAAGCAACCGATCCTTATAACAGGTGGACCAGTCTTGCAGTGAAATATGGTGCTGGTGACAGCTCCGGTTCCCAGAACTTCACTGTGAATAAACTAAGTTTTCCCAACCGCCAGAAATTGGTTGAATACTTTGAGTTCATTTGCTGTTGTTCCCTTAAATTATTAATCATTTCTTGTATATCAGCTTTCCTAAGCCGGATATGTAGTGAGTCAAAATGTTACGGTTTTCGCCAATGTTTTAAATCCGGTGTGCCTTCCAATTCTTTCGGATTATTTTCCCACCCTCACGCAATATTTCGTTAGACCACAAGCACCTTAGCACGTAGTCGTCGAACAACAACGTGAGTNGGTTACTAGAAAGGTTTGTTCCGGCAACTTAATGTTCTTCTTTAGAGAACATCGCTCTAAGCGGCGCCCATTGCGAGCTATCTCGCGATACTGCTGAAAATCCGAACTGGAAGGTGTGTCTATTCAAAAAACTTTCTTGTTTCTTATTATTCGGACTTTATACTTTGTTTTTCTAAAGATGTTTAGTAAACGCGGTACTTCACATCGAAATCAACACATGCGACAGAATTTTTGTAGCAAAGGTCAATGGTTATCCTATTGGTCAGCCAAACTTGTACGTTGAATTTTTAGACGTTGGAATGTGCTCATTCCTTTCACCTATTTGTTTTCGAACTTCGAAAATGCCATAGCACGGTGAACATCGTGCATGAGTTTTCGTAGGTGCATGCTCCCCCGACATTTCCTGCTAAATTTCACTCTTTGTTAACAGCAAGGGTGTTTTCGGTAACGTCTTGATTTCTGTGGCATTGTTGACACAGTGCTTTAACGACTCTATTATTTCTTTTCTTTAATTGATCCTATGACTGGGTCTTTATAAGATATGTTTTTACCAGATCGGTGGTATTACTCCAGACACCATTGTGCCACCATTTATGGGAGCCAGTTTGCAAGCGGCAGTAATTTTATTGAATACTATCGCTCCAGTTCTCCGGAATATGTACGGTGTGCATTAAGAACAGCTGCAGAAGTACTGCTAATTGCAAAGAGTCCACGTCTCGAGTCTGTTGTATCGATTTAAGCAACCGATCCTTATAACAGGTGGACCAGTCTTGCAGTGAAATATGGTGTTGGTGACAGCTCCGGTTCCCAGAACTTCACTGTGATTAAACTAAGTTTTCCCAACCGCCAGAAATTGGTTGAATACTTTGAGTTCGTTTGCTTGCTGTTGTTCTCTTAAATTATTAATCATTTCTCGTATATCAACTTTCGTAAGTCGGATATATAGTGAGTCAAAATGTTACAGTTTTCGCCAAGGTTTTAAATCCGGTGTGCCTTCCAATTCTTTCGGATTATTTTCCCACCCTCACGCAATATTTCGTTAGACCACAAGCACCTTAGCACGTAGTCGTCGAACAACAACGTGAGTAAGTCGATGAACGCAAGCTTAGTTTTGAGGTGAATGTCTAAATTCGGAAGAATTATTATTGTCATAACGGTTTTTACGTCAAATTCGGCTATAATTTGTTTACGCTATGCCTTTTTTTTAACATTGCAGGTCCCCAGCACCTTATTCACATGTGGGGATGTCCAGGATGCCGCTGATGAAATGCGCCTGACCAGTGGTACAGCCGCGTTACTGATTCCGTCCCTGCCGGCCACTACATCACAGCCGACGTCTTCGAACAACCATCCAAGTCCTCCTCTGTGTTCATTCACGACTTCTCCCGATACAGTGGAGGACAGAATAATTCGCAGCAAGAGGAGCAGCTAACAGTCTTTTTTGGTGTTTTGTTTTGGCTTTTAGTTTTAGTTTTATCGTCTACTTTTTATAGTTTAGTTTTTATAGTTTTTTTTATAGTATAGTTTTTTGAGTACAAATCCTCGTCTTTTGCCTTTTGCAGTTGTTCAGTGTTTTTTTTTTGCTTTCACTTTTACTTTATTCAGTGGTACTGTCGTGTATTATTGAATGAATAACGATTCCTACCGCATGTGTAGCATTTAATCAGATAGTGGAATTCCACTGTGCATTGTCTCCTCGTTTCCTTTGAAGTGTGAACAACGTCTGATATTGGTAAAGTTCATTATGAAAGGCACATTTCTGTCATGGCAATGACTTGTTGCCGTTTAGTTGGGCTAAGTTAGAAGGTCTATCTGCATTATCGTGAGTTTAAAGCAGTCTATTCGAAAGCTTTAACAATGTTAGGCGATCTATATTGTATGTGTTAATACCGAAGCAATGCAAGAGACTATACGGCAACAGGGTTGGTAGAGGATGAGTCAATGCGTAGAGTGATCCTTTCATGTGAGAGACTCCCTTCATTTTTGCCTTTGTCATAGACTGGTATAGTAAGGCAATGTACATGTATATATGTATATATATATATGTATATATATATTATATATATATATACGTATAGCTATGTATATGTTTGTTTGTTTGTGCGTGTGTGTTTCGTTGGTTGTTTATTTGTTTGTCTGTACGTGTTTGTCGGAATTCATAAGGAACGGTACATGAGGCTAGTACACTAGAGGTATGTGTAGTGACCACGTCCTCGTAGATTTAATAGTTAGCATTTTCTACATGGAGTAGAGTGGTAAGATACATATGATGATTGTAAGGATGCTAACGGAACCATATGCGCAATTATGTCAACATAGTGTCCAGTGCACAACCGAGTGGATTGCCTCTTTCCATGCTGTGACAGGGGAAAGGAGGTAGCAGGACCAAGACACTAGGTTATGTTAGCGTGCTCGGTGGCGTTCCTGGCGGTTATGCCGAGCTGCCAATGTGAGGTAAGCACGCGGGTTTTATCTAATTTTAAATGCAAATGCGACCTACAGCTGGGAGATGCATCCCACTGGCGTGGTCTCCTAAGTTGAGAAGGAGTCCGGCGTTTCCATCAGGAACTCTAGCTAAGCGTTAATCAAAACCAGTGCCAGGATCCACCACCGTCCTGGCATCAAAGTCGCATCGCAAATCTCCCTCTGATCTACAAGTGCTGAGACTGCTTGTGGCGGTGAAGACCTGAGCCAGCATTTGGCCAGACTAATCTTGAGATTCCAGTGAACCACAAGAGCTTAACCAGCAAATCTCCGAAAAATGGTGATTATGCTGGGACCCGTACAACTAGTGAGGGCGGGCCGTTCAGGTATCAAGTATCAAGTAAGGATTACATGATAAGGGGAAGTAGTGTCGAGAAAAGGTGCTTGCTACATACATGTGGCCGATGATAAAATAAATAGTCACTACTCTCTACAGAGTGGAAAACAGTCTCTAAGCTGAGAATGTGGTTCGTAACACGAAGTTGGCGAAGTTTAGGCAAGAGTTCCTTGCTGGCGATTGCCGATAGGTTGCTATTCACAGGTTGTCCGACGGTGAAGATACCTACGAAATTAGAATTGCTTTAGGTTTTTTTTGACATATCGTTTGTTTAGTGTTGGAAAAAGTTCGCCAGGATTGTTTTCCTTCATTAATGGAGCAACATCATCTGGAAGATTAACATAATACGAACTATTATAGAAGGAATTGCACCACTTTTTTCTTTCTGTCCTCGTTGTAATTCTATTTCTAGTGATGATTTACTTCTACTTCTTCGTTAGCCGTTACCTTTCAAAATGCTTTCTTTAGCAACTCAGATGTGAACTGCATGGTATCATGAGCGGTGGGTGCAGGCGAAGTCTAACAACTTGGATGCTTGGATGACACGTCCTCACTAGTTGTGCGCTCCCCAGCTTAATCTCCATTTTTAGGAGTTTTGCTGGTTTAGCTATTGTGTCTCCCTTGAGTGTCGAGGTAAGCCTGGCTAACGTCTGCCCCTGGTCGTCTCCATCACAGGCAGTCGCTGCCTTTGTGGGGCAGAGATTTGCCACCATGCGAATAGTTTGAGACCAGAGCAGTGACGGTGTTGGATCGTGATGTTGGTTCACTCTTAGCTGAGCTTCTTCAAGGAAACCCCGGATTACTTCTCAGCTTGGGAGGACCTAGTAGCACAGATGTCTCTAATCATTCTGTTTAAAAGCACAGTAGTGTGGGCCTGCAATGCCAAACCGTCTACTGCGAATTAAACGGACAATGGATCTTGCCTTGATATTTATATGCTTGGGTGGCCTGTCCTCACTAGTTGTGCGGGCTCCAGCTTAATCTCTATTTTTAAGAGTTTTGCTGGTTTAGCTATTGTGTTTCCCTGGAGTCCCGAGGTAGGCCTGGCCAACGTCTGCGCCTGGTCGTCTCCACCACAGGTAGTTGCCGACATTATGGATTAGAGGGAGAATTGCCACTATACGACTAGTTTGTTACCAGGACCGTGGTCGATCTTGTTATTGGTTTACTATTAGCTAGGCTTCTTGTCCATCACTATCCGACACTCAGTAACACCCCCCGGCCTCGATGAGTGATTAAACCGTTACGAAGAACTCTCAAAACTTCAGATGGAACAAAAGTTTTTATCAGTAGTTTTAAATTGGTGAAACTCAGCATTATTTTAACTACACTAGCTTGCTATCACGACCTATGTCAGAAAGAACATGGCGAATTTAGCACCTGTCAGAAAATCAGATTACTCAGCCAATTTTAAAGTGAGCTGGGTTAGTGCGCTTACGGCTCATTTTTCACCGCTTCACTATGAGATATCCTTATTTCATCATTTATTTTTTGAATCCTGACTGAGAGTAAAGGAGAATCTGGACACTATGTTGGCAAAATGTAAGGTAAGTTGTTCACTAAATGATGTGGACGCTCCCCTCGGCCTTGAAATATTCAAGTTCAAATTTCGCGCCCGCTTCCACGCACGCTTCTTGGCTGCCCATCATCTGATCTTGCGTTCAGGTCGCGTCGGCCTAAAATGGCTGCGCAGTCTGGTCAACGCTCTCACCGCTTTTCACCGTACCTGTAACAAATATTATTTCATCTCTCTTTTTTTCAGTTTTCTTGATGATTTCGTTTAAAGCGGGTGATTTCCGTTCTACTTAGTTGTCGCTTAGTTAAACGATCGATATGCATGTTATGTGCTGTAGTTTTAGGACGAATTGTGAACCGTTTCAATTTTTTCAAAGTTTTAAATTTTGTTATATGTCCAGCTTTTGTATTACGGATCATGTCTCTCCTGGACGCAACGTCAAGTACAGAAGAACAAAAAAAGGAGCGTATTCATAAGGAAATGGTGGTAAGTTTACGACGAGTTGGTGTTCATTTTTAAATGACAGACTGTCTTGCAAAGGCAGCTCAACTTTTTCTGTAGGAGTGTAGCTCATTAAATAGGAAGGTCACACCATCGGATAAGCTTTGCAAAGTTTCACTATGTGTTGCACAAACAGCTAAACAAACTTGGATTTCTTTGCCTTTTACAGAACGGAAGTTCATCTATGCAATTGTGGTGCTCCTAGTAGTAGAATATTAGCACTCTTAAGGAACTGAACTCTTGCGTATAAAATCCGTTAAAGCTTGTTGAGTTCACCTTGTTAAGGTAGATAGATAGATATAGCAACAGGTTTTTGTTTCATACTTATTGCACGTAAATTGCGATAAACTGATGAACGTGGGATATTCAACAGAATGCGCCATCGTAAAATAGCACTTTAAACAGTGGGAAACTATGTTCAGATATGCGCACCAAGACAGCATTGGTTAACCAAAAAAAAAATTAAACTGTGAATTTAGTGGCGTTACTCTTTTCCTGAAGAAATTACGTGCTTCGGTCAGTCTTACACTTTCATCTCGAGATGCATTTACGTAGCCTTCTCCCACATACTCGCATGTCGAAGGCTGCTTCCAACGAAAGCTTTCCAGAAAAGAATTATTGAAGGCAAGTTCTAGAAAATTTAGTTTTGTTCAGCCATGATTAGAGATAGAAAGTTTGAACAAATCCGCTGGGTGCTTTAATATTCCTAAATTACTCTGAGTACCTCTCGCGTATCCTGTGTTGCATTGTCGTGTGTACACCCACTTTGGTACATATTACAATTATCGAAACGCAAACAAGTTTAGTCCTAATACAAACTCTCAAAATTGTGACTTTGGGAAGATGAGTGCTTACGAGGGAGTCCAATGCTTTGTTTTCTAAAGAAGAAATTACAGGTGAAGTGCGTGCATATGTTATGAAGAAGTCTGATGCCTTGGGAAAGCGCATTATAGAGAAATTCAGCGGTGTCGCGCGCGCTATAGAACAAGGTTACCTTCGTGAGCTAACGCTTGTCGTCAATTCTACGAAAGAGGATTCGAAGAATGCCATTGAAATATACACATGGACGATGCATTATGATTTTGATGGTGAACCACGAGCAGAACTGCGGCAGTATGTTTACGAAAAGTGTTTATCGTTGCTGAAATAGCACAACAAATCACTGTTCCAGACCCGATGGCACTGTAACGGCAGCGCTTCCATTCAGAGGTATGGAGCATTTAAAAAAACAAACAGCAGAGCTCTTGCATTTGATAAAGTTGTTATGCCGAGAAATGCTGACTCCGTTAGCACCTGGGGCGTCGGCTATGCTTCGCATAGCATACACGAACAGTTAGTTCATTTTTTATTGAAACCGCTCACAGTGAACTAGTATCCACTACCTGTTTTTTTTNTTTTTTTTATCAATACGCATACAATTAGAACACAGTTATATAAATACATTTAAGCATAATTGTAGTGTATTTGTCTTTTACTATTCGTTAAAATACAGAAACTCCAACGGACTATCAGGCACCGGGCTTTTATCCTTCTTCCGAAGATTCTGTCCTACTGCAAGATGCTCAACATGCGAAACTTGGAACACTACAAACCATGTACCACGGGTAAGCAGCTATGTTCTCGTATTTCTTGTATTTTTTTCGACGTTTCCCAAGTTTAGCTACAATTTTTAGGGCTTCTGTCATAGTGCGAAGTGTGTTCATAGATGATGAATTCGCTAGGAAAAGAAGGCTCTATGAAGTGGAGCATTCCTCTCTAATTCCTCCGTTTGATGAACAATCGGATGAAGGTGATGGAGCCCATCGATCTGTCAGTAATGACACTAACGAATGCACCAATGAGACACAATTGCAACAGGTTACTTATAAAATGATTTATGCTGGATTTCCAGGTTAGTCAGTTTGAGGGGTCGAACCTATATCTGTAGCTGGTTGCTTGTGGTGCTACGCAACACCTCCTAAGGTAGCGAATGCAATACTTTAGAAACTTGTTTTATATGGTTCTTGTCTAGCGGCTGGATTGAAAGGAAGGACTTTGTCATCGCCAGCGAAGTGATACAAGCGAAGAAGTACACCTTTGACGTACTCTACAAATTTATGCATTTCTGGCTGTTCTTTTAATCTGGAAGTCATACGAATAAGTTTAGTATCCTTCGTCTTAAGCAAGAAAAGTGAAGTGCCGTAATCACGTTGTGACGAATGAGCCGCGGATATAGAAACGTTGGCTAGAGCGAAACACAAACGCAGTAAAACCTGATTCCTTTGTCGAGAGCTTCGTGTTGAAAAGAAACTATTCTTCCGAAAATGATTTGAACGAATAACGATCCGTGTAGAATGTTCACTGTTGGACGACGTGAACCGATGGTTACTCTAACAGTATAGCGTAGGCTACATTTTCTTTTTCATAGAATTGGAAGAATTCTGCCCGAAAACAGGCCTTGAAGGTCTCGACTTCGGTGCCAATGTGGCCTCATTCAAGCCTCTGAAGAATTTCATACTGGAATAGTTAGGTTCGTATCTCGCTTTGGAATTTTGCGTATCATAGAAATTGGAGCGCTAACTTGCCTTATAACTTGAAGAGGTACGAACAAAAAATAGCAATAAGAGATGATCATGAAAATATGATGGCATCAGTGTTGATTGGATCCCAGAGGTTTGAGAACGTCTTCACACTCTCGCTGGTAGTTGTTAAGATAAGTGAATCTCTTGAGGTCTAAATAAACCGTTTAGTTCAGTGAAAAGAGGAGAATTTGGATCACTGCAACGTATATTATACTGCAATCTTATTAGAGAGCATGTTCATATACCGTTGCACCATGCTACGAAGAATGAATATTCGGTTTCAGTTGCTCTTCGCTATGGCTAGCGGCATGATGTGTCACTGCTGAAGTGAAGTACAGACAAACCTTAAATTTCTTTAAAAAAAATCTATTAAAAACCACTGGAACAGTACTGCGTAGAGCGCGTGAGATGTGACAGACATCATCAACTGTCGCTCAGAATGATTATGGTGTGTAGTTTGTAAATGTTTTATGCCAGTAATTGAGCACATAACTAATAATAATTGTTGAAGGACAAACATAAGAATAATTGTTCTGGAAGGGATTTGGGGCCATGGATTACATCGACATGGTAGCGAAGCTTAGGTATCGTGGGAAGGGGAAGTGTCGCTATGTTCTTTTTTCATCTATTTGATCTAAGTGTAAAAATGAAGTTTTAAGTTTCTTAGAAACCTTAGACAACACTAGTTTTATTTTGAGTGAGCAAGAATCGCCTAAGCGTTATACATGCAGTAATTTCGCAATCAGAAGTATGCGATTTTACAAGCGGTATTCTTGGTTGGAAGAGATGGTTCTGACAAATTAATGTGCTTAACAAATCTCTTCAGTGCCATCATGCAAAAACACAAATTTAGTAAATTTTAGAAGGACTAAATATGAGTAAGATATCTTCGTTTGCTGAAGGTTTTTAAGCATGGTAGAACATGCTGAACGCATGTAGCGCAGTAGACGGTGGCGCCTTGCAGTACACATGGGATCGATCCCTACGCCCAAGGTTCACCAAGCCTTTCATCTCTCCTTGGTCGGCAAGTTGATACAAAGACTTGTCTGACAGGATAGCAGCATGGCTCAATGCATCGGTAGGGTCACTGGGAGTTATCGTCAAGGCCAGGTATGCGTTCAGTCTCCTCCAAAGATGCTTAGTGAAGTCGTATGCACTGCGCATTCCTCAGAGCATGATCAACGCCGAGAGCTTTATTCTTTATTTATAGGACCTGCTATCGAGAACGGGTTTCTGGAACTATCCCTCAGCATATGAGAGAGAAAATCAATGGTTTGGAATGATATCGTAGAATGGTATCGTATGACCATTTGGCAAACGAGAACCACATAGGAGCTTAGTTCTTCTAGCAATGCACCGCGTTTGGTCGCTACCTTGTACAATTCCGATAATATTCCACGCGCTGGAAGCTACCCAAGGTGTTCATTGTGTGATCGACACGCTGTAACCAAAAACAAGGACCTATTCATAAACGTTCTGGAATTCTTGCTTCTGTATGTTACCATTACCACAAAATTGTTACCCACTGACGGTTATGCCTGTTTCAGGCTACCCCACAAGTGGTGAATGTCTAATTCTGTATGGTTGCTTTGTTCTCACGCATTTTTCGGAAACCAGGAGGCTACACATACACGGTGGATGATCAGTCAGTCCAATAGGATCTGCTATTGAAAGCGTGATTCTGGAAACATCGCTTAGCACATGAGAGTGAGGATCAACAGTTCAGAATAATATCGCAGAATAGCATCGTACGATAGTACTTTACCCGCCGTGGGCTAAACAAGGCGTTCGACATCGACGCGCTGGTACGAAGGAACGAGGTCAACTTGTTCATAAGCGTTCTGGAAGTCTTGCCTCTGTACGTTGTAGTTTTAAGAAAACTGTAGCCCACTGACAGTTATGCCGGTTTCAGGCTACTTCACAAATGGTGGATGTCTCCGCACCGCCTAGTTAGGGTTTGAATCCATTTATTGTGACTGAAGGAAAATTCCTAATGTAACGTTGTTCAAAGGTTTCTATTGCGATGAATTCTTTCTTTCAGTACCCATATGGCACTCTCTCGGTCAGAAAAACACTTGGTGTGACAAGCTGTGGATGGGTAAGCTTAGCTACTTCGTAGTACCTAGTACATATTTTTCGGACATTCTATTAGATTGCGTAGAATAATTTGTCTTGGTTTAGGTCACTCCTGAGCAACCACCGGTTAAGAAAAGCAAACGAAACATTGGTGGAGATTAAATATCAGGGGTTTGGCTTCGAACGTGTGTGGGTATAGTCTCGTGAATATGTCTTTTACTCAGATTTCTTTATTTCCGGTTTTTAGTTCGTTAGCAGTAATACTCGAAATTATATCCGTTTTCTTTATATTGATGTGCCATTCTAGTACAACACTTATTTGACCTTCGCTTAAGCACTTTCAAGGGATCTCTCGTTCAGGGCGTAGAGTAGTAATACAGGCAAGCAGACTAGTTAGTCAAACATTTGCTGAGCTCAGCTGTGACTTCGTAGCCCACTTAATGGCTTACTGTTTAAGTCCTTTCCGTTGGCAAAGTATGGAAATTGAGGTTCTAAACATAAATGGAATGATTGGTAGTGTTAAATGTAGGTCGAGTTTATCCTCTTAAAGCTCAAACGAAGAAGCTCAGAAAGAAATAGATACTCCAAAAATCAGCTCGGAAGCTCTGAAAAGGCCAGAAAATCATTCGTAGCTGAGCTTCTCTTCGTCGTTTTCTTCAGATGTCAGGTGTGTCACACCTATTCAATGTGTGCGTTCCTATTATGCCTCGTGATATAAATTTCTCATGCCAGTGCTTTGACAAGGTCCTTTTTCGTCAACTGGCTAACCGAATGTCGGCGTTGTTATGTTCAATCACTGTTATTTCAGCTATCTGTGAATATTGTTTTTGTAAATGCTTCAATAAATGTTCTTTGTTGCGTTCCAATGTGAATGTGGTTGTAAGAAATTTGTTGAATACAAGTGCGCTTTCTTAGTGCCGTGATTAGAGGGGCATCTGTGATATAGCATAAGACGATGAAGTGATTTCAGTCATTGGTCGTGGATCGAGAATCATATACAGTGTTCGCTGAGTATGCTTACGGTTTGTAGATATGGAGAGGGTGAATTGGGGAGTAGTGCAAAGATTTTCCATGAAAACTAATTTATTTTTCCTGTTTTACTTGATCGTTCCAATGGTCTACCGCCTCATCTTGGCTGGGAGGTGTTTCTTGGTGTCAGGCTGCAATGTACACCGGGAGATTCATTCCCACGGAAGGGTCCTGAGCTGAGGATGTGCTCTGCTTCTCCATCAAGAAGCGTGCTACGAGTAAACCAGTTGCTAGGATCGACCACCGTCCTGGTGTCTAAACTAGTCGCATAGTGGCCAATATCCCTCTGGCACACAACGGCTGTGACAACCCGGGGCAGACTTTTGTTAGGCTGACGTTCAGACTCTAGGAAAGCACAGGGACTAAGCCAGCAAAACTCCCAAAAAAAGTGGAGATTATGCTGGGGGCCGCACAATCAGTGAAGACCGGTTGCTAAAGTATCCAAGTAGGTAAGCTTCATTTGATACTGTGCAAGTTTTGCTGTGTACTTTTTTGCCATTCCAGCTGGTTAACCTACCGTTTTCCCTTATTTGGTTTGGTATTCAATGCTATAGCTGTCTATTGATACTGAAAAGTTGGTACAAATTCAGCAGTAAACACGAGCTTTGTTCATGAAAATCGCCTTTTTTGAGTGATGTACAAAGAGTGGTCGCATACCGATGAAAGGGAATTTTTAAATGGCACCACAGGATTTTTTTGTGTTGGAATCCCAAAGCCTTGGGAATGCAGCCATATGTTTAAATATTCCTCGAATGGTTGACAATAAACTGTGTCTCAGAATGCTGATTCCTTGTATGGCCAGCAGACCGTGAATCACCGATCGTGACTGAAGAAAACGAGGAGTTTGTTGAACGTCACTAAAACTGTTGAATATAGTTCTAATCTGTGGAAAAAAATTCGTTATGCATGTCTAATCACTTTCAATGAAAGAGATACAACTCTACGGCCATACAACGTCATTTTCAGTTTTTTTTCAGTTCAAGGTTTGGGCCGAAAAGCAATTTTCGCAACCTCTACCACGGTATTTTTTACAAACATTGTTTTTCGAGTTGGTAGAGAACCAATGATTGGTTTCATTGAATGCGGTATTCGAGTTGGTTGTAAGTGCAGAATAATATTATAACTCAGTTCGAAACCGTTGGTAAATATTACAAGGCAATGGCAACGATGTAACAAGACCGATACAATACAAGCGGAAGCACGAAAACAGGAGTGAACAAACAAGATCAAATGAGCGAGAGGCGACTCCTTGGAAAAGAGAGGATTTGTGAAACAGGTTGGTGGCCAATTGAGGCTAAGTCTCGTATTCCTGTTCTTTTACCTCTTTTATTGCATGGCTCCAATCATCACATGTTCCACAACCCACGGTTCCCAGCACTTCTATCACTCGATTCGTTTACTCGCATCAACCCTCCACGAAGATCCTCAAAGCAGTATGCTACCTCTTTTATTCCAGGTGTGAAAATCTGAGATAACTAGATTGAGCGTGAATACAGTAATATTGAAGACGACTATGGTGATGTTATCGGTGAGTGGCTTAACACTTACGGAACCACGCGTACTCATTTGGAAATGTGTGCAGTGTCCGCTACGGGTCATATATTCTGATTTCAATAAGCATACTTTTGCCTTGTTTATTTCGCGGCACAGAACTGCCTGCAAAAATTTCGCAGTCAATAGATAGATTGCATAACACATTTTATACTGGGACCAAACCATGGATAGGTGCCTTCAAAACGCTCTAATTGCGAAAAACCGTTTTCGGACGGTTGAGCGGAGTCGGTTGACGTATAGAGGATACCTGTCGCGAAGTATTCTCTATCCTTCATTTTATATGTC